AAGTTCTAGTGACTTTTTGATTTTCGCTTGTTCATTTTTTTTTTTGTTCCTAACGGCACGCAGCCTAAAAACGTTTCATTGCTCCTTATTCGTTCGTCATTCTCTTTTGCGCGCTTCCGTGTGCACAAATGCATGTTGTTGTTTATATGCAGTGAAAGACGCTGAACAAATACATATGTATGTATGTACGTGTCTGTGGCGTTAAATTTAGTCTCATATGTATGTATATGTATGTATACATACATATGTATATATGATTGAATATAAATATGTACGTATGTATGTATATATCTCTTTTAATTCCGCTTTCTTTTCTCTGATCGTTCTCTACTATTTTACTTTTTTCAGTGATGTGATAAAAAGAGTTTCTTCCTCCCACTAATTGACGGATAATATAATGATCGTGCGCGTGTTTGTCCATTTTTTAGTGAGTACGTTTTTATTGTTATTATGATGTTTAATACTATTATTATTTCTACTTTGATATTTATTTGCATACACATTATTTTTATTTATAATAATCACTTTTTCTTTTTGCTCAGAACATGTCTTATATTTGTGAAAAATTTCTAAACGTCAAATGAAGTGGAAGCAATTAAAACGGTTTTCACACATCCATATTTTGCACAAGCGAATATTAATGTATATGTCCACAAAACATAAGTTCATGAATGTGGATAAAAAGTAACATTCGGTCGCAATGGGCAATGAATCGTGTTTGGCATGATTCTTAATCAGCTTAAGTTCTTCCCCCCTTATTGTAAATGTATTTCGAGCTCGAAATGAGAAGTTTATTTATTTAATTAGCGCTTATTTGGTTATATTGAGGAAGGATTGTGATATACTCGGATTGCTTGTAAGCATAGTTAGCTAATAACTCAAACACAGTCGTGTCTATTGCAGTGCCGGGGGGATGGGGGAATGGGTGAATTAGCATACAGCATCACGCATACGCCCCGATGTGCGCAAACGCAGGCCAAAGACGACACGAGCTGCATGCCCATGCCTTGCGCCAGTTGCCAGTTACCAGGATATTAATTGTTATAGTTGCGAGATGTGTCTGCTTGAATTGTTTCTGGGGCTTTGTGCGTTGCAACCAAATTCTAATCTTGTTGAAAACGTATCGCCGTGCCCGACTCTGTCAAAGCCAGAGCCCGGCATTTCGGCTACACTGACACAAGGATTTCCGTACATGACAAGCAGCAGCAATAATTTATAGAGCCTGCGTAAGCAAGCTGCGTGGCTAAGGATGCTGCTGCTGCAGCTAAAGACATGAGCACACCACACACACACGCACACACACACACACATACGCACACCCGAACACACTTGAATACTTGCTCTTCGGTAAGGGTTGGGATAGGCCTCTTTGGAACCCAACCCGAGCATCGGGTTGTCTCCAAATCTGCCAGTGTCTGCTCGACGGCTGTATATTTGTTCTCGTCTTGTTTCACTTAAATGACACTTTGCATTCTTGTAGCATCTTGAATCTTATAGGCAAGTGGGTTAGCTCGACGTCTCCTTATTTTGGGGGGTTCCTGACAGCATCGACGCCCACGCGCTGGGGTTTGAGTGCGTTACGGTGGCAATTCCTGCAAACAGACAGGACGGACTTACGCAAACGCATCTTCTTGGAATTCTCCCTTTAATTATTTTCGAGCAAATTTGTGTTCTTTGGTATGTTATAATTGAGTGTGAATAGTCTCGATGAATATGAAAATTTGTGAAAATTAAATAAAACTTCTTGTGGACTTACTCGAAGCAGCTGTGACTAATTGTTTTAATAGGCACAAGTATTTAAGCAATTTGCTGTCAAAATAGCTGCCCAGCAAGACATTTTTGGGCATGCACAAGATTGTTTGTGTTTGGGCTGAATTTGCATTCGAAAGGTTCTTCATATTAAAATAAATATTTTTCAGCAAAGTTAAGGCATTGCAAATTAAATTTTGAAAACTGTTTTTGCAGCCGCTCAATCCTATTTGCGAGCACAATTCCAGATGGGCTCCTCCTTTTTGCTTAGCTTTACTTAACTATGATTATATTCTACACGCGTTTCAGACTAATCAGAATCAGATTTTCTAGCCCTTATCATATTATATACACAATTAAAAGTCAATTAATTAATATAATTTGCCTTGACTGACTAAGAATAATAGTTTATTTATATAACAATTCAACAGTATTTTCTTGATCAATATAAATTTAACTCTATCAATTTGTTGCTGGCTTTGCATTGATTAACTAATTCTGCGATACTAGTTACTTGATCTAGGCTTCTTATTTTATATAACTGATAACCCAGGCAGATCCACGCTTGGGCAGAAAACACTTTTAACCCTTTTAATAGAGAGTCGAATACCACAAATAGTGCCTAAAACTGTCAATCATAAATTACCTGAGTTTTCACATGATGTTGAAGGATTGCCCACACACGTTTTTGATCGCGAACTGGTTTTATACATATTTAGAAACGGGTTGCATGCAGCTGGGAAGTTAATGCGACAAGTTTCCAAATGGGTAACAATTTTCAAAGTGATTAATTCGCCTTCTGGCTGCCAACGTGATTTTGACCATAGGATTGATTTATTGCCACGAGACGTTAAGTGGATGCAAGATAAGTTAACTGTCGTATATCCTCACCGCTGGTGACCGATCACAAACAATACTCAAATCCGATTGCCGACTGTCGACTGCCAGCGCGCGCTCAGCGGTTGCAACAGCATCTCCAGCAACAACTACAACAACAGCAGCAGCAGCAAGTCGCGATGGCTCTGGAGAGGCAGCCACTATGGTTTATGGCCCATAAATGAGATCGCTTTACAAACGCAGCAAAGGATCTGGACTGGCCGCCACTTGGTCGTTGGCGACGACGACTCTGGCGCTGGCGATGGCATGTGATGCGATTAATTTACCCGGCTTACTGATTGGCCGCATTTGTAATGGGAAATTTTATGCCCACTGCAAGTCGTTTAGCATTGTAAAACAACTCGTAAAGCGCATAAGGCTGCATTATGGGAACTATGGGAACGGAACTAATACCCCGCTGATAGGGAGCGAGGATTACAGATACAAGTCGTTTCAAGAAATTTGTTACTAAATATGTATTGTATTTATGCATTTAGCCAAGTGGACTGCACGTCGCTTTTCTACCCAGATGCATCTAAAGTGTGTCAAACTAAAACCAAATTAATCACAGGCACTTACAAGCATCGTCATCATCATCGTCGTCGTCGTCATCGTCATCGACCAATTCGACCAAATTTATCGTAACTTATTGCCTTTAGCGGCTGTCAATTTCAATTCAAATGACAATTTGTTGCATAATCGAGAAACTGCTGAATGTTAATTTATCAAACGCCGATAGTCGTTACAAATTGTTTTACCCACGAACACCAACCTCCCCGCACACACACACACACACACATACACACACTCGCACATAGAGTTTGTCTCGTTTGCTGGCTCCAAGTTGGAGACTTTGACAGAAACGTTTTCTCTGTCGCGTAATTTATCGTGGATGTGGGCCAAACCTGGGTCGTACTTTTATTGGGCTTGTAGGTCTTGCCAACTCATTCCGTTTAAAGCCTAAAAAATATGTTTTCACGCTCAACAGCTGTTATGATATTGATGATGCTGCAGAGTTTTTGCAGAGTCAATTCCGTAACTATACGGAATGTGCACTCAAAGAAAAACCTTGAATGCATCCTTTTATTATGTTTATTTATTTTTTATTATTTAAATGATTATTTGATCGAATCATATAAGGCGCAAGTGTCATTATATGTCCACTTCAGTGCAAACTGATTTAATACAATTTCTTTTTGTCTCCGAGAGGGTTTGAACTCTTAATTTCGCGCTCCTTGTCCGAGGCCAAGGAAAAACGCTTTTGATCCATGAATTATTATAAATTAAATGGGGTGTAGCTTCTATGATAGAAAGCAGAACTGTAAGAAATATGTCTGCAAGGACATTAAATCCTACCTCCTAAACTAGTTGCTTATTATTAATATTGTGTTATCTGTTATTATAAAATACGTTACTATTTAAAAGCTGTTACCCTGCTAAAGAGAAATTGGTATATCCAGACAAAAAGCAACGCAACATTGCATATTAAATTGCATTTAAGAAGATTTTTTGCCAGCTTTTTTATTTGCAATCAGTTGACCCCTCTCGTTTGCATTAATTCGATTTTTTATGTACATGTATCTGCTTTTAGTTCAGCTACAAATGACAACTGGGTACATGTGTGGCTGTAATGAATTATAATATGTAATTTATGTTAATTTCACTTTGTACTCAGAAAAAAATGTTATGTTAAAAGGGTAATTAGCGTTGGTTTAAATCGAAAAACTTTCGAAAGGCACGACTCTGCTCTACGGTAAGAACATCTGGCTTTATTTGTACCTATTTAAGGTACAAATTGGCAAATATTTGATATGTGTCTATATCTGCAAATCAGCACAGTATTTATGCAGATATGTATCTTGAGTTTTTACTTGTATTCTGTGCATTTTTATCATCATAAGTAAGTTCTTATTTCCAGTTCGGGAGCGCTCCAGCAGAAAAGTAAAGCAAAGGTACTTTGCAAGAAACGGCAACTAAGCGCTATCCGCAGACTAATTTTACAGAAAAGTTTCTTGAGTTCCGTGCTCATCAGCGAACTATTAAAATTAGCAAATTTTAGTGCAGCTTTATTTATATTGTACCTAAAGTTAGCAGGTGCATGGCATATTAACCCGTACCCTTCATATTGTAAACGCAATATGACCCCAAAGAAAATGTACCCAAATATAAAAAGATAATATTTGTTTGGATTACAAAGATTTATTTGTATTGAACGAATTTAAATTATTTATTATTATGAATTTATAGAGACGATGTGTTGTTTTATTTGAAGTCTGTTAAACAATGTAAAATTTATCACAGTTTATAATCTTAAGTTCTAAGTTTAAATGTGCCTGTTTATAAAAGAAGCTGTCCCTAATAATGCTTACTTCAGATATAGTTTAAGACAATGCACGGCTTTTATTAAGTTGTAATTGTAGTTTGTATGGTACATCTGTACCAATGTGGTATATATTATCATTAATTAATTGTTAAATATTACACAATCCATTACGTTGTTGTTGCACGAGCCCAGAAAAATGATAATCTGCGTATGTACATAGATTCAATGGATATCAGTTTTTATAGATATTGCAAATGGGAAAGGGTCTTACCTAAATTATAATATGTACATATGTTTACACATACATATGTATATTGCAAATACATAAGGTCTTTGTCCAGCTCTCTCTCTAGACAGGCGTCAGGCTAAACGAAATTTGTTTACATGTATCTTTGTTGTACTTGTGCATAGATTATTTTGAGTAAGTGTACCTCTTGAATAGCGGCTTGAACATGTTCTCTGCCCGCTGCAAATGTGGCGAGGAGGAGCTGCTGCTGCTGCTGCCGCTGCTGCTGAACTCATCTCTGTTGTGGTTCGACGGGTAGTCGTATTCGTTGAGGCGAGTGGAAAAGTTCATGGGGTAATTGCAGCCGGGATTGTAGCTATTACTGCTGCGACAGGTAGCGGTCATAGGGATTTGCGAAGCGGTAGGCAGCAGACTCAAAGCTCCGCTCAAGACCTTCATATTCGGCGGAGTTTGGGGTGGAGTATCGGGTTGGGCTTCGGGAAACCCCATCGCCATCGCCCGCTGACTCGCTGTGGATTGAGACAGCTGCTGCTGTGGATGTGACTGACGAATTACTGGGAATTGCGGCTGGGCCGACGACTCGGCCAGACCCAGGCCCAGGCCCAAGCCCAATCTCATTGCCTCGCTCGGATTTGGGTTTACCGTAGTAGGGATGGTAGGCGTATGCGTGCCGTTGGAGCTGCTGCTGCTGCTGTGCAGCAGCGGATTGGACTGGCCACTGTTGTATTGGGCACTGTTCGTGCTCGTAGTATGGAGCTGCTGCGTCGTAGCCCCTAGAAAACCCCCGTAGGCCGTGGTATGCGCCCTTACATAGGGCGCTCCGTTGAACAGGTGGCTGCCCATCGCCAGCGGTTGTTGCTCTTGCTGCTGCTGCTGCTGCTGCTGCTGCTGGTGCACCTGGGACGTGCCCATCCCCAAGCCTGTCTCCTGTTGGGACTGCGGATGCAGATGACGCTGCGCCTGCAGCTGCTGTTGCTGCATTAATTGCCCTTGGCCCATGCATGCTGGGGGTGGGGTCTTGCAGGCAACTGTGTCGGCCAAGCTCCAGATTTTGGGCTTCGTAGCTGGAATCGGCACACCACAGTCCCGGCCTAGCTGGTTTTTTGAATCGCTGTGTTCACCATGCTTGCTGCTGGCCATGGCCAGGCCGCTGTCGCCCGCATGAAAGGCTGCCGGCAGCACCGTCTGTTGCGGTTGGTAATAGGCGGGATGCTGATGATGGTGATGATGGTACGGATTGTAGGCAGCCGGATGGCCACTGCCGCTGCCGCCGTGGTATCCGCCCGAAGGATAGCCAAAGCCGGCACGCAGTATATTCGCCTGGCCCAGGCTCTTCTGATCCTCGTCGATCAGCTCCTCATCGTCTTTGGCAACATCTGCGAATGAAATGGAAGAGCAAAGCTCAGCTATTAGAACTGCCTTGAATACCTGCGCCTCGGTTTGGTGAGGGACTACCTTTTGCCAAGCTGCCGCCATGCGAGTCCTTGCTGGACTCCACATCATCCTTGTCCTTATCATCGTCCGATACCAACGCATCGTCATCGTCATCGGTGCGATTCTTTGGCTCCCAGGTCATCTTGTTCTCTTTCTTAAGGCGCCGACGCGCGTTCGCAAACCAAGTCGAGACCTGGGTGAGCGTCATCTTTGTGATAATCGCCAGCATGATCTTCTCACCTTTGGTGGGATACGGATTCTTCTTGTGCTCATTCAGCCACGCCTTCAGCGTGGCCGTGGATTCGCGCGTGGCGTTCTTTCGACGCGCCGCCAAATCGTAGCTGGCCCCATAACTGTGAATGCGAGACAAACTGGTTAGACTAATGGTCAAGGCATGTCATTTTTTTATTAGAAATACAACTACACTGCGCTACAAGGAAACATGAAAATTCATTAAAAATGCGAACAATTTAAATTGATGCTTTCATATTGCCACCCACAACGGCCACACCTCCAGTGTAGTACAACGTCAAAATATTGTAAAACATAGTTGTGAAACAGCGCACAGCAACAACAGCAACAACAACAACAACAACAACAACAAAAACAAAACTCAACAATAACGAGGACGAGGACGACAACGCCATAAGCGTATAGTCAGCTGTGGGTTTGGGCTTGCAACTGAGAGCCAGAGCAGGAGTCGGAGCAGGAGCAGGAGCAGGAGCAGGAGTCGGAGCCCTAGTCCGAGCCCAGGCGGCGTTATTGCGTTTGCATTTTTATCCTGCTGTCCGGCGCAAACCCCTTCGCACTAAAGCTCTACTAGCTAAATTAAGCCCTCCCCGTCCATGCGTATATCCTGTTGCAACTCATCTCTGTGCAGCAGCTCGTCGCACATTTCACTTTCGTGCTGCTGCTAGACCCATCTTCAACGTTCCCTTTTTGTTACCCCCGCTCAACAGCAATTTCTTTTTTTTATTTTTTTAAGTTTTTCATGGGATTTTTATGGTGCCGCAGAATCAACAGTTTGTGCGGTGAATTTTACAACAAGATAAAGAACGAAACGAAACTGTGCGCTGCGCCCGGCTCGGAAGTTGCGGACTCGTTGGTGTCGTTGCTCCTGCCCCATTTGCTATTCCTTTTCTGTTTGTTTTTTTTTTATGGAGCTTTCGCAATGTTGCTTCGACTCTAAAAAGCGCCTGATTTTTATGCAGCGTTGAAGTTGATGTTTGAGTTTTTGCTATTATTGTCTGGCACAAGGACGTTGGGCATTCACAAAATTTGTTCTCTCTTCCAAACCATTGTACTTATAAGTAGCCTGCAAGGATAGCACAAGCTGAAGACTGAATAAAGTTCTAAAGAAAAAAAAACAATGTTGCGCTTAAAGCTATCGATTTGTTGCACTTGGTTGAGATACAAATGCAATCCAATTAAATTCCTATTCAAAGTTTCCAACTCACAAACTTTGTGAAAACGTAAAGAATATTTACGGCGAATGTTTATTGATTTTGCTATAGTTTTTCGTGTCTTATGCCTAAAGCTCACTTAGACCTTTTTGCCTTGCTTTTCCTCGAGCGATTAAAATCCATATCCTGATTTTACAAAATCATGACAAGTTCCTAACTCCTTAGTAAATGGTTATCAAAAGACTTAAAGCTCACAAAACTTGGTCGAAATCGATTTTTAACAAAAATATGATTTTTTCTGATAAAGTTTAAGTTGCCTCTATGAATTTTACAATTATTACACGTTTAAGGTGTTGCATTAATTCAGTTTCTTAAAGCAAGAAAGAAGCATTTGAGTTTAAGGATATATGACAATATTCAGCAAATATGTATATTGGCAGCATATAAAAATTATGGAAGCACAGCGAAGCTTCAAATGTGAAGTTTGGGTGCATTGAAAAATAGTTTTTCTTGTAGAAAACCGATTCCTTACTGATTGTTCCAAAACAAGCTATACATATGCTACATAGGCTTGATGTTGATAATGTTTCGACTATAAACATGAAAATTATTGACGACTCGAACCTTGATACAGATCAGTAATATATGTATACATACATACATAGGCAAGTGCAAAAACTTCAAAAGCAAGCTATTTAACATTCGGTTTTTGTTGTTGCTCATGTTGTTGTTTTATTGCCTTTACAATTTGCTTAAGCATCTTATGAACGTTAAAACAAATGTTACGATTTCAGTAATTTGGTGCACGAAACATCAGAGCGCACATCAGAGCCGGCGATTAAATCCCGCCGTATTATTATCGCGTAGGCTGACCGCTATTGTTGCCAATGCGGCGGATGCAGCCACAACTACATATGTACAGGTGTGTACATGTGTGCATGCATGCATGCGCATGTATGGATGTATGCGTTTGTTTAGTGCGCTTTTGTTCTCTAATGTTTTACAATTTGGCGAGCACAACCGTTCATTTGTTGCTAATTGCCACGCATTCTATTTTTACAGTGTACAAACGTTCTATACATGTAAGCGTATGTGTGTTAGTGTGTGTGCCTTTAAGCCTGACTGTGAGTCTGCGAACTGCGGCTGGCCATATAATCTTGTTAACAAATCGAATTCTTGTTCACACAAAAACAATAACTGCCTGAACTGAGGCGCCCGTGTCCGAGTCCCGGCCACGTCGGCGACGATTATAAATTTTTATATACAGATATGTGCGCACATATGTGCATATATATAGTATATGTTAAGTCAGCATATGACTGAACATGCAATTTAGTTTTAGTTCGCAATTATAATTACATACTCATGTTTGTTGTTGCTGTTGTCGTTGTTGTTGTTATTATCTGTTAGTAGCAATTTACAGCAGTGAACACACATTTTAAACAAATAATGCCTAGCACGACAAGTGACATTGGCTCCAGTTGAGCGAGAAGCAGGCATGAACATGCCAACGTCACGTTGACAAACCCAACAATTGTGCCGGCCATCAGCAACCACTTTATGCCAACCTCGAAACCAACCCCCTCCATCCAGCCACCCACATACCGTCTGCCCACTTTCGTGGCTCGAACTCCCGGTCTGGCACTCTCTCACACTCTCTGGCCAATCTGTGACAAAGCGCAACGGTCCGTTCTTCTTTTAAATGTCTCTGTCAACGTGTGTACTCTCGCTCAATATGGCGGCCAACATGGCGTTCATTTACTCACACCTTTATACTCTTGCCACTACCTAGCTGTTGCACTCCCAGTCTCAGTCTCAGTCCCAGTCTCGGTCCCAGTCAAAGTGCCAGTGCCAGTGCCAGTGCCAGTTCCAGTCTCAGTTCCACTGCCCAGTCCCGCAGCTAGCTCGATTTCATGGGCTTTCTGCACGCAATGCACACTCAACTGGGGCTCCCCCCTCACACACTTAGACCATGCACGTCCAGCGCCCGTCCTCCAACGTCCGTCGTCCAACGGGGAAGCCGCAGCCGTCGCGACGGCAGTTGCAGTTGCATGTCCGACGACTGTCCGCTTCTCGTATCCGTGTCAATTCTGCTGCTGGTGCGTGTGCATTATGTGTATGTGTGTATCCAACGATACATATATAAGAATATAATGCATGCATACAAACACCTACACACACACACACACACACACATAATTATATGTACGCATGTGTGTGTAGAGCTCACTGTGGCGTGCAATTAACTGCGATTATTTTCGCCGCAATCATAAATAAATAATTTCGCGCGCTCCAGCAAATTTTCACAATTCAAATTTTATTATCGCCTCTGTCTGGATGCCTGTCCCTGTCCCTGTCCTCGTCCCAGAGGGCAGCGCAATTAAATTCAAATCAATTTTAAGTACTCACAAATATTCTACAATTAATTATGGGCGCACAATTGCTTTTGATTGGCCCCCCCCCAATTTCTTCTTTCTTTTTTTATTAAAAATCACGAAAATGAATGGCTGAACATTAAATACTTAGAAATGCTTTTAAACAAAATCTCCTTATTCAAACGATTGTTTTTTATGATTTGATACAGTTTTGGGGATAAGTAAGGAAAATTGAGAGGCTTGGCCAAGATATCTTGAAACAAAACATATTTTACACACCTTTCTTTCTTTCTGTACAGCTTTATAGTTGTCTGATCTGGCCCATTTCGATATATTAGCAGACCTATGCATGGTTTCATAACAATAGCTTTAAAAACGATTTGGCTTTATCAACTTGGCTGTCCATAAAAATCAGGAATTCATAAATATATATATTTCATGGGGTCGGAGACATCTCCTTCTGAGCCTTACACAAATCGTGACAAAATTAGAATATCCTCTACAAGGAAAAAGCGACATATACCCTGTCAGGGTATACTACCACGGTACACTCTATATACATAAGCGACAAAATGAATATGGTACAAAGTTGAGCAGTGTGTTGCCACGAAGTTTAAGGATCGAATCCTTAAGAGTATACAATAGAACTTACCCATAAGCAGACATTGGATCATAGGAGTAATAGCCAGTTGTGGGCTGAAGTCCTGCTGAGGTCCAGGCGCCCATTTCAGTGCCAGTCGCCGAGTCCTTCAAGCCGTACGGATTACTCTGAAATGATTAAAAACAAAAACAAAACTATGTAAAATCAAAGCTTGACTAAAACTTATTTATAGAAAAGCAGCTAAAACTATAATAATTTACAAAATCAATTCTGTTTTTGTTTTTTGTTGGTTTTTTTTCTGGTCGACCTTAATGTGATGCCAGATTCATAAGCGCTAAGCAAAATGATTTTCCCACAGTATCCAAAAGTTGACGATTTTGTTAACATGGAATTTATAATTTGGCAACATATTTTGCCATGAAACAAGCGAACGCTGACGTTGACCATATTTTATAGTCAGACAGAATGATGTGTATCCAAAAACATAATTTAGACCAACAACTCAAACAACTGTTCACAAAACAAACAAACAAGCAAATATACAAAAAAAAATATACAAAAATCAAAAATTAAATAAGCAGGAACGCCGATTATTGTCGTTATGAATGCGACACTCTTAATTTTAATATCGGATGGCCGCCGCATGACCTTAGCTGGATTTTGGGCGACTGCGATTTATGCCCTCCCCAAAAAAAGAAGAGAGAAAAAAAAAAGAAACGACAGCCGGATTTATGAGCGACAACTATTGGCCAGGTTGCCGGCGGCTTGGGCAGTCTAGCGGCCAATCTGGTTGGCCGACTCGAGTCGCGAGTTTAGCTTTTGTGTGCGGCTCTTGATTTATGAAACGGCATTAACATTTTTAATTGCTTAACATCATGTATGCCATTGTTTATTAATTTTTTAACTCGCCTTTGCCGCCGCCGCCGATCGCGAGTGACAAATATATTTATCAAAATGCCATTTGATCGACGGAAAAGAAGGAAAACAGGGAAACAGGTATCGGACATGATATCGCCGAACTCCATCTCAACATGTTTCATATCAAACGAAGGCCGACCCAAACATGAACTCTGATTTACGTGATTGTGCCGGGTGCAGCAATTGAACAAAAGTCAGCATAGATCTTCAGCTATTTAACTAGAAGACCTCAATATTTAGCACCCCCAGCAGCTGACTATCTCACTCTCTCTTCCTATAGCCGTCTCCCTCTCACTATCTCCCGCTCACCCACCTGGGCATGGAGCGTACAAAATGACGAGCAGCGACTTCTTATCGCACCGAATGTGCGAACGCGAGCGAACAGCCCATGATATTTTCTTAATTAAAAGCAGACTCGGATAAGAGCGAACCGCGCTCAGGTGCATGCGACAACAACGCCAGCGAGTAGATCGGGAGCATGAGCATGAGGAACGTGAACGATTCACTTTGAATTTCCTGTTCTTGTAAATAACAATTTAACATGACACATTGCTGGCTGCTGTCGCCGTTCCATGCTATTAATTCCCTGCCCCTTTTTTGGACTTTCTCAGTTTCTCTCGTCGCTTGCGATACCCAAACTTTCCGAACCTCAAAGTTAGGTATTATTTACTTATCAATTATGGCAAGGAATTACGTTTGTCTTAAGTATAAACACAAAACTAAGAGAGAGAATTTTCTGCTTTAATACTTTTTCTTGATATTTTTTCTCAGTGCGCGGCATTGAAATAAATTTAAAGAAATAAAGAATTAAACCCTTGAGACAAATTCATAAGGAATTTATTATGCACGTGAATATATACAGATGCACATATATGCATGTACTTTTAGACCATTAATTTCATTTGGAATTAAAACAGATTTTTTATACTTATTTATGAAAATAACACCTAAGAAAAATATGGACTTTCTCCTAAAATATATATTTATATATACATACATTCATAAAATACATATACATATTTGCTAAAGCCAATTAAATTCTCCTCACTTATCTATGCGCTTTCACGCTGCGCCGACCTGCCCCCTTATGCGCATATTACTTTCCTTCATATACATATATTGTCTCGCCTCTATTGCACAAAAGAATAACTCATGTTTTTAGTTGTCTTTTTATATATATATATATATATAGTCTTCACGGGCTTCGATTCCTAACCTTAGCGCTCAGCGTCTGACGCCTCGCCTGCCAAAAAAAATACATATGACAACATTCTAGTTGACAAACGAAAAGAAAAAGCGAACCTGAACATGTCCAAAAAACCGACTACTGCTCTGAACATATTACTTCCTGTGTTAAATGAAAAGCGCTTTTCAATTTTCGTACATTTTGTGAATAGATTTCTAATAAAATAGCTTATATTAAAATGTAGTGTTTTATGCAAAAACTATTTAGAGACATGAACTAACTGATTGGCCTATTAATTGGCAGCATGTAGTTCGCTTCAAAGGGCAAATATTTATGTTGTTTGTTTGTGCTACCTTCAACTAAACGTGTATGCCTCGTATTGCCTGTCACCCCATGCCCATGCCCGTCCAGCTCAAGCTCCTATATGTCATCTAGTATGTCATTTAAAACTGTGTGCATGTTGGCCGTGTACATTTCTGTGGTCACTTAGAAAATACAAAGGGCACAGCCACACAAATGAGTGTGTGTTGCTGTGTTCGTGTGTGTTCGTGTGAATGAGATGCATACAAAAGCATAAGCTCGATTAGCCCACACATACAAATACACGGCAAGCTTCATCTGGGAGTGTAATTGAGGCCATGGGGCAATATGTTTTGTTTCCAATGATTTTGCCTTTCGTTGTGCAAAGTATCGAATATCACAATGGTAGTCAGCACCAGAGAGAGAGATGGACAGGGTGTGTGAGAAAGAGAGAGAGCGGCAGAGAAAAAGAGAGAGAGGGAGATAGAGAGAGAGGAATAAACTCTGATACAACTACAAGCTTGAGCTGGAGCTGGAGCTGGAGCTGGAGAGCTGCTTTGGCAACGACTAAATGAGGTTTGACTGAGCTTCAGTCAGCCATAATGATAATTCGATTTAGTCGACTACATTGACAAGCCGTTGTTGTCCACGTTCCCTGCTCCTGCCCTCCAGACCCTGATCCCTGCCCGAGCCCGTGCTGTCCAACTTGTTGTCTATGTCTTTGGCCATGTCTGCGCTGGGACAAAATGCCGCTGACTACACAATTAAAGTCATATGTGGAGATAATCCATTTAGCCGTCTTGGCTTTCACTTACCAGCGGCGAGTAGAAGGCGGAGCTGTCTACGCCGATGCTCTGGTAGGGGTTCTGATCCGTCGATGGATATGGGGAGCCGTAGACACCAACACTGGCCGCCGGCAGGCGCGAGTAGCTGGATAGCGCCAGACGTGCCGAGTCATATTGACAGGAGCAGACCGTCTGGCCAGAGACTGGATCGGTCATAATAGGACGACCGTTCTCGCAGCATGAGCTGCCCGTTGTAGGCGTCGTGCCCACGGCGCTGCTGTCCAGGGAGCCACCGGGCATCGCATCAGGGCCAGAGACAGCGCCAGCCGCCACAGTTGACCCCGTGGCCGCGTTTGAGTTCTGTGAAAGCGCGTCTGGACTAAGAGCGCCCGTTGAGGCATCACCGGCAACGCCGGCCCCGGCGCCCGCCACCACCGAAACGCCAACTCCGCCAGGCTGTTGACTCGCCTGACAGTCGGCACCACCCGTGGGGCTCAGTGCCGGCGCGTTTGTCATCACCAATGAAGACGCGTTCACGTTCGCGGCTGCGTCTTCAGGTGTCTGCGTCACATTCGGTGGTAAGAGCTGCAAAATACCAAAAAGATTGAGAAGCTTGAGATTGAGCAGACGAGCATATTAAAACCCAGGCACAACATGCGCATACGCAATATACTAAATATGTGTGTCCCATTCCCATTATCTTTGCACCACTTCATTTCGTAGCGAGCCGCACCACGGAAGCAGTCCTAAAGACTTGATTTAAAGTGGAAAAATTGTCACCCTCTTCAGATTCAGATTCAGATTCGGATTTCTCAGCTGAATGAATGGCTGACTGGCCCGATAATATAATCAACAGATTCAAATGAATATACCTTTTTATCAATTACTTATGGCTTGTATTCGAATATAAGTCCAGCTATCGCCACTGGTTTACATAATTAATGAATGTTGTATCTAAATCGAATCGCATCGAATCGATTCGAATTTAATTTTCAATTTCCAAACACAAACACAAAAAAATGCATCGTGATAAGCAGCCGAGTCTACTAAATGACAGTCGAATGACCGCTTATTCTGTGCACTTCAAATGATTTCTGAGAGGCTTGATAACTTTTTATTACTTGCCAGATATCAATTATCATAATTAAAAATATTAATTTGAAAAATATACTTTTACGCATATACAACATGTTTAACAAGCTGATAAGCGGGAAGAGCTTGTTAAATAAATATTGAAAAATTAAAAAATATTTATGTATTCAACTTGCATTGACAGCCAAAAATGTTATATATTTACTTAGCTTTAGTTTTAAGCAAGGGAACATTTTTAACTTGAACTGAACTCGAATAAAAATTTTTAAAATATTTTAAATTTCTAATTTCGCAGATAGATAGACGAAGGTATTTTAAGTATTATTTAAGCAATAGGAACATATTTATTTTTAACTTGGATCAGGTTCATTCAGTTCAAAAACTAACTAACTAATAACCCGTACTAAAAGCCAAATCCTTTCTTTAAAATTCTTTTTCTATATAATTTTCATATAATATATACGAGAGCAAAACAAGATTCGGTTTTAACATGTGTTCTTAGAACGCTCGATGAATACGCATGATATGTGTGTTTTCCAGCGGATTTCTTGTACTATTTTGCAATTGGCGCTAGGTTCCAGTTCATCGAACGACCGTCAGAGAGTTCATAAATATTGATGCACGTGTAATGGACCGGTCGTAGCTATGTATATTCAGTCAGAGAGAGACGTGGTTGTCATAGCTTCTTGAGTGCAATGGAGGAACTGGTCGTCGTAGGCTTAATTTGAAAAATCGACAGACAGGGCCCATTACACGATGGCAACGATAACATGTAAGCGAATATGGTGTTAACACACACAATCAGCGCCAGAGGCAATTGGAGTACAGAAGCTGTGCGCGGCTTCGTAATCCTGCAACCGATTAATCGCGGTACGCCATATTTGCAACATCGCTGGCAACCCATTGACGAACTGCTGTAATGTCGGCTACATCAATTACCCGGCAAATCGATTTAAAGTGCAGCAGCAGCCGCAGCAGCTAAATTTAAGAGTTGATGTTCTCCATCTTGAAGCGTTTCGCCAATGGCATGCGCCAGCCGCTTGGCCGTTTGGCGGCCACGGCAATTAATATGCAAAATGCGCCAAGCCCAGGACCAGACCCAGTATCAGTCCCAGAGCCAGAGCCAGACCCAAGCCCGGACCCATGCTCTGTGCAGACAGCCCAAGATGCCAGAAATCAATGAGGGTGTGGCAGGCAACGCTTACAGGCTAAAGAAGAAGAGCAGCTTCGCCTCTACATGCAATCCGAATGCTTCTGAAAATTGCCGCGGGACAATCTGCGAAACGAGCCCGAAACGTTGGTCTGCTTCAATTTTTCAAGAGTGTTTCTCTCTGTCCGGCTGCCTTTTTGCGAAAAATAATTCGATAAACCTATAATTAAGTTGAATACTTTGCTGATGGACAGCTACAAATTGATCGAATGCCGTCCATCGTCGTTGTTGTTGTTGTTGTTGTTGTTGTTGCTGTTGTTGACTTCAACTTGGCTATCAGACTGCAGACTGCAGACACTAGCCCAAAGGTCATATATACGCCTCTTGGTTACAGCTCCCGTTGAAGGCTACCCTCGGTCTGTGCCCAGCTCAAACTCATAATTATCTGGGAATCATTAACATAATCTGTCGATTGTTGCTGCACCCCAAAATGTCTGACTGCATGTTTCTTAATTTGCACACATATCAAAGTTTTTAAATACCCATTCAGCACCAGAAATAACTTTAAGATATATATGCTAAACTTTAAAAATTCACCATAAAATAAACATATTTTCATAAATTCAGAAAAGTTTCTTGTTTGACACAAGTAGAGTGCTCTAGCCGGGAGTAACAGACTTGAAGATACCCTTAGCCTAGCTCCATGCTGCATACGTTCACGCATAAATACACGCATGCTGTATTTATTTGCTTCTTCTTTCCTCTACCCCACACCTTATATGGGAAATGCATTCCCTGCTAACTTCGGAGCCTATAGTCCGATCTTTTTGAAGTTTTTGTGACTTAAATAAAGCATTGAAAAGTGCGTATATACCAAATCCCAAGGTTCTGTTTTTTTATTATTTTTTTTTTGGGGTGATTTTCAAATTTGGGGTGATTGGTTGTGCATACCTTAAATTGTTTTATTCTCTATATACATATTTATCTATATATCCAGGAGAAATTGTTTCCTACCTGTTCAAAGAATTACGAATAATTTGTATAGGTATTAAGACGAATTAACTTGGACCCCTTTTAAATGCGAATTTTCTAATTTTAAGTCAATTTGAGGTAGTATTTTTCCGATTATGATATAAACTCTTGTGACACAAGCTGTACAACAAAGAAGAACACACACTCAAAGCTGATAATAATCCAAAATCAAGCAATATTTTTTTTTTTATACATTAGAAATTTCGATGGAAGCTATGAGAAATATATAAAAATATGACTCATGCCCCGCCGCGCAGCAATCATAACTGAATTTCGAGGTCGACATCGTCTGACTGTATATCAAAGAACAACCATTAATCAAATTTCAACAAATGATTGATTCAACTTTTTTTGTCGCGCTTTTTAATTAGTGAAAAATAAATATATGTGTACACGAGTAAAAAAAAAAACAAAAAAGAAAAAACATAAAAAAATGTGAATTAAAAAAGGTGGAAACCCATAAAGGACCTCAACCAGCCAGCCAATCTGCACTCTGCGTTCCCATGAAGCGTCAGAGGGCTCTCTCACACAAACAGAATATGAGAATTATGACAACTGATCTGATAGGCGACACCATATAGGGAGTTCTATGCGAATGGCAGATTCCGCCGCACCGTGCCCGAATGCATTATTCATGATGAGCGCATCCAATGGTCAAGAGTGCTGCGTAAAAAGGAAGCTGAAGCTGAGAAGGAAGCGCCAGCCTGGCCATGTGAACAGCACGCTCATGGACAACGTCGACTCGGTCAGGACAGGCAGCCACGCAGCCAGGCAGTCAGCCAGTCAGGCAGGCAGTCGGGCATATACAAGGCAGACCCTGGCTCTGATAAGATCGCAGCGGCGGCCTTGCTGGCCATGTGTGCACTACTACCAATTTCTTTGAATCGCAAAAGCGCAGAGAGCTCAATGATCTAATCTCCGACTTGCATCTGCGTCTACGGCGAGGCTCCAGTGCAAAACGGGAATGGCCCAGCTCCTCCGCCTCCTGCTCCACTTCCGCTGCTGCGGCAGATAACCAGGCTGATAGTGGGAACTGCAAGCGCCACATGAGCGTTGCTCACCGGGACCAGTAGCAGACCAGTGGAATGGGAATGCAGTCCCAATGTAAAGTAGATCACATCGTGGGGCCGCCTTGTCGCCGAGTTCTACATTTTTGCTCAGCCTTTAAGTCATCGCTGCGATCTGTCTGTTGGATCTGTGCACCGATCGTTTGGCTTGAACGTCTGATGTTGGACCTCCGGTAGCCGCTGCCACTGCCGCCACTGATTCCGCTATCGGTGTGGCAGCATCTGGGCCCGGCGAGCTGCTGGGCCTGCGCAGGCTTTCATTGACTGCCTGCTCACGTACGTCGTGAGCGCATGCGCAGGCGCATTCCCAGAGCCTGCTCTGAGCTGTCACTTTACGGTTATAAATTTTATGATTTACGATCGTAGCAATTGAATTTTATTGACTTTTCAACAGTTTCACATGCTCAACTGCTTGTCCAGCCAGAGTGTGTGTGTGCGTGAGTGTGTGCGTGTGTGTGCGCGTGTACGTGTGCTTGCCACCTCCCACTCTCACCTGGCCCCCTTCTTTCCAGTTAATTCTGCAGCATCTTCAGCTTGCCACTTGTCTTGTGAGCTTTGGTTAAGCCAATTGGTCGGGGAAGGGTAAGGCATGGGAATGAAAAAGCCTTTCAATTCGAAAACTTAACTAATAGCTAATCATTTATCTGCTCATTTTCAGGGAATGTGTAAAACTAGTGAGAGAGAAAGAATTTATCCTAAGAATAATAATTTAAGCTAGATCTAGGAATTTCTTGTACTTATTTTCAGAACAATATTTCCCAAACTCTTTACTATACGCTGAAAACTTATCATTATAATATTTTATTTATCTTATTTGTCTGCAGTTTATAAGGATTTATATATGTTTTTTGTTTTGGTTTTCGGAAATTTAATGACCCACCTGTGATGCCGACGGAAAACCGCCATATCCAAATTGTGTATAGGCGGCCATTGCCAATTAAACTTCGGCTTAATTGAGCTGTATTTCTTGTTTTTTTTTTAGTTTCAATTAACAGTTATTATGTACTATAATTGTATGTATTGGAGCACCAGAGTTGTTGCTCGAATCAAATGTGATTCGACAAGGGAGTTCAGTTCGATTCGATGGGCGATCTCTTTAAGTTTCTGCCCAATAGCTTTTAGTACGTTGCACGGTGACAATTTTACCGTTGGGGAATCACGCATAAACAAAATTGAAAACACGAGCTCAGTTCACAATCACCGACCGAGCGACAGACCAGAATCAACATTGGGATTATTGAGCGTAGCGGCGACTGACGACAACAATACCGACATAAACATAACCATAACAATTGCAACGCTTATCCGCACACAGACAGACGCACAAATACAGATACAGATACAGATACACAACTACAGCAACAGCTACAGATACAGATACAAATTTTAGATGCACGCAAACGCAAAAGCATACGCAAAACGAAACGTAGACCGGAGTCAGCGACGGCGACGACGACGGCGACGGTTGCGCGCTCCAGATGTTCACCAATGTACGTTCGAACACGAACTGGTTGCGGATGGTTACTCACAACCGGCACGAGAGCTGCTAATACGAATGCCGTTGCTCAGCGCACTCGCATTCCGTTGCAATCGGGCCCGTGCAGTGCGAGAGCGAGACAACGCTATGCGCTCTCTCTCGGACGCACTCCAACTAGAATGGAAATGGACTTGTTTAGAGGCAGGCTGGAAGTGTGCGACGGCGACGGGCGACGGTCGACGCTCGACAGTCCACGTTCGACGTTCGACGGCAACGCCCTCCGAGCCGTGCTACTGGCGGTGGTGGTGTCGACTATATCGTTCCAATGCACACACACGCACACGCACCAACACACAGGCACACACACACGAGCGCTCGCCCGCTTCTCCGCCCAAGCCAGGAGAGAAAACAAACACGGCAACGGCTGCCTGGAAGTGCGACACCTCACCACCAATCAGAGCGTTCCATGACGTCAGGCAGTTCTCTGTTGTTCAATCGCTTCCTCCATTGACAGGTGCGACTTTTATTAGCAGCAGCTACTATTTGAGCCAAACAAAAGAAAGCAAAAACGAAATGGAAATACGACCATTAATTACTTCTTATTTGGACGTTTTCCCGTGGGCTGGGGTAGTGTTTCCATATTGGGCACGCCCATTTGTTTTGTTTGGCTAGTCGCTGATGTTTGTTTACCTTTCGGCCGAGCGACTTTCTGCCGAATCTCATTCAACATGAATGATCGTGACGTAGCAACAACAAAATAATATAAAAAAAAAAGACAACAAAACAAAAAAAAATAGGTTGGCCTATATTTTTAGATAAGTGCTGTTAAAAGAGATAAGCAGCAGTTGTACAGTGCACTACCTTTTGCTTTATTGCTAAACTAAGTGAAAAGTTAATATATCAAACAGAAATTGACTTTTATAAAAGTTTTTTAATATGATGAGTTATTTGCCCATAAATTATTTATGTGTAGTTAGTATTTAATAAAAAACTTACAATTTAGGTATACGTTAGTCTAAATTAGTTAAGAATATCGAATAAAATACTACAAAATTCCATTTAAAATTTGATGTTCTGCTAAAATTATTAATATGTTCAAATATTTAGAAAATGTTCCTACGTATTTCGCATGGCCTACATTACCCTTTGCTCCCAAAGATAATCTGTTTAACTTTCCGCTTTATATAAATTCCAGCTAAATTAATCCTCTTAAATACTTAACCTGAATCGCATAATATCGGATTTATACATATATTTATATATATATATATATGTATATAATTGCATAACTAACATATAATACATTTCAATTCACGTTTTTGTTTATTTTATCTAAGCTCACGCGCAGTTAACCATGGTGAAATACATTAAATTAAATTATATTTTAGTCTCTAATCTAAAAATATTTTCAAAAATATTGAAAGCCATTGTGCCATATTTTTATTCAAATTCGCCATTAATTTTCTTTTGACATATTTAAACGAAATAATAAATTTTCGTTTTAATTGCATTGAGGAAACAGAAATGTATTTTTTACCTTGGCTCATACAGACTGTTTTTCATGAAAATATATATATTTATATCATATATATATCATATATCGAAGAATGGCAGCTTTTTCTGCTCTTATTTAATAAGATATTTACAAATAGTAGAAAAGTAAGTACAATTAATAAAACAGTGTTTTCAACGCAAATATATGTTTAACACCGTTTCTTAATATAAGATTCAAGTTAGGCTTTAATATTATTATTTCGGTATATTATTGCATAAATATTAGTGTACTTTATTAACACATTAACATTGTATTATTACATATTTTAATCTACATACTTTTTGCTAAATGGATCAGTTTATATGCTCTCGAAAATCATGGTATTTAAGCTGCATTCGAAGTACCTAATTAGACATAATATCTAATCTATTAACATAGTTTAAATAGTGTTTATCTTATCTACGAGAATGTAACATACATACAATTCTCCTACACGTTATTTTGGGTCTCGTTTCGTCGCAGACTTTAAACCAGAGCCAATTAGCTAATAGGAACCACTTTTACCTTGCAAATGTACTTTAAAGTTTCATGCCAAAGTGCCAAAAGTTTTTGATCTCTTGCTATATTGAATTCTCTAAGGAACTTAGTGAGTTTTATATTCGAAATCAGATGCATCTGAGATTTAATGAAATTTTGAAAAATGTTGCACTTAAACGAACTTACCGCAGAGCAGCATATAGCATATTCGAAATATATATTTTTACGAGCTGCTTTTTATAGGGCGACAGCAAGAAAGCGAACTAAAACACATACACAGCGGACGCATGAAGAGCGTATTCACTGTATTTGTGTGATGTGGTGTGGTCGAGTCCACTGCGAGGTGAGGTGAAGCTCGTGTTGTTTTGTTTACTTTTTATGATAATGTAATAAAAGCGAATTAACCTATAAAACCAAAAAGTGTGCCTGACATGATGGAATTGCGCCATAAGGTATGGGCGTGTCCTTGCCAAGCGCAAGATATATGGTTGTAACAAATACATACAAGGCGCAAGCACCACCCAAAGCCAACGAGACACAAAGCAAGAAGTACAACTGACTACGACACGCCGAACGTTAAATACGCTTAGAAATGCTTTTACACCGAGGCTGATGATAAAGTAGTTTGATTTGATGTGGGGTTTGCAGTTATGTGAGAGGATAAGTCGGGCAATTGGAGAGTCTACACTAGATATCATAAAAAAGTGAATGTTTGCCATATTACTATTCTTGATAAGATTTTCCTCATATTGAAGAAACGTAGTAAACCTCTTAAGTGTCAAGTTTAGTCCAGATATCTTGAGAAACATAAAAGTTTGTCATACAAAAACTGAATTTTCGATCGATCATGTCCATGGCAGATATATGATAAAGAGGTCTGTTGAAAGACGGATCTATGCACAGTTTTACTGTGAACCAAGTTTGTATAGAAACAGACACGTATATATATGTATATATCTTGTGTGATTCGGTAAATTATAATACCTTTTTTAAGGGCATAAAAAGCGCGCAACAGTATGTTGGCTTAAAGCAGCAAATGACCAAAAACAATTCGCGTAAACAAATTTAAAGGGATGCGAAGGAAAAATCGCGAAGTGGAACGAGATGGAGGTGAGCGCCAGCAAAAGCCACTTCAAAGTGTCCCTCTGGGTGTTAAGTACAATATTTGCTCTGTTGCGCGTTTTACGAGCTGCACTTTTTGCCAACAACGGGCAGCGGGCGGCGGACGGACGGGCGCTGAGTCAAATGCAATCAATCAATGGGTCAGCATGACGGTACGACGACGAGTGCCAGCCACATGGGGCGTTTCCATTTGCGGCCGCCACATTGACCACCCTTGGTGCGCCATGGGTAAAGGGATGGTGGGGAGGGGGGGGGGGGGTGGGGGAGGCAGGGCACAAAACTCCTGACTACCAGGCTGGCTCAATCAAGAGGCATCTCGGTAACGCCAAGAGTTGTTGCCGTTTGTAGTTCCACTTTACAAATCAGTTTGCCGCCACTTAAACCTATTTTGACAATTGAGCTGTCCGACCGACTGTCACGCTGACAGCGTTCACTTTTCGCGCCACTCGAGTTGCATAAATGTCATCCAGATGCACGCGGTGGTGGCCTGCCACGCCACTCTCTCCCCTAGCCGCACCCCTCTCAGCCATTAGCCGGCTGAGGGACGCGCATTTTATGCCGTTTTAATTGCAACATCTGTCACTGCGGTTTATGCATATATCAATTTCAAAATAGCTGCCAAATGGTTACGGCAATGATTCGAGAGCCCGTAGCCAAAAACCCAAACCCAAACCCAAATCCAGATTCAAACTCGAACCCGAACCCAAGCCCTAAAAATTGTAGCAAAAAGTACCACCATGCAAAATGAATTATTTTTATTTTCATTTTTATTATTCTCGCTTGCAAACTCAGGCGACAAAACTGTCACAACACTCGCTGCTGACACGACTGCCAGATGAAGACGAGGGCAGTGGCAGTAGCTGTGGCAGTGGCAGTAGCTGTGGCAGTAACAGTCGCAGTAGCTGTGGATGGGGCACGCACTATGCGACCATTGTTTTTGGCATTGTTGCAGTTGATGTTGCTGTTGTTGTTGCTTTTGTTTTTGTTGTCATTGTCAGCAGGCCCGACTTTAATGGATGTCAGAATACATAAAAATTGTCAAAGGGAAATATCGCAATGTTACATAATTGATTTCCATTACACAATGCCAAATGTTTATATTGAAGTACTTAACTGGTATCCATAAAATTGCACACTATTAAATAAACATTCAAATCGATCATGTTGCCCTAAAAACACTTTTTAGATCAACCAACGATTTTTGGAGCTTAAAATGAATCCTCAAAAGCAATTTGGTAATTGCTTGGCCCTTTAGAACTTTATCTCAATTAGGGTAAGGGTTTATTTACATTAGAGTCCTGAAATATGTTACTTTCTTTGAGTACGACTTGTGTCCTTCGCTTCTGAAGCTGACTTCACAAGATACTTTAAAAATTGTAAACACTTTTTTTCGGGACACTGAAAATTCCATTCAATTAACACATTTGTTATATATGTTTTCGTTGACACACACAGAGTCACTTTAAAAGACCTGTGTAAAAATTAATAAGAGACATGATTCACACATTTAGTAAAATCCACCACCTTAGGTGAAATTTAATTTAATTCATAAGATATTAAAGCTTATTGTGAATAGAAAATCCACATTGAGATCGGAAAGTGCACAGAAAGGTGTTATATGCAGGTTTTTGCGTCTTAGCCCTTTTTGAAGATATTTATGAGAATGCATTTGAAAAGTTTTTCACGCCTTTCGCAATACCCGCTGATTTAAAACGCAAATTCATGCTAGAGCGGGAAAAGTGCCATTTTCAAAATTTCACGGTCGGAATATGCTGTAAAGTTCTTAGTACAATTTTATAGAATATTATAACTTGGCCCGTGCCAAGCCAGGATATGTACATACATACAATAAATCAAAGTTTAAATCTGTTGCGCCTAATATAAAACATATTTAACATTTGGGAATAAATAAAAACGATGCTAAAGGCAAAACACATCAGAGTCATGAATGTTTGGGTAGAAGGTGGTTTTATTATCCATTTTAAAATTCTATATAAGATATACATATAACTAACCCCACATCATTTTCATACAAACATACCTTTCCGATTAAAAGTTGACCTGCTAAAATAGATATTTTTAATTGACAATCTAATAGCCGCATCATAAGGCCCATTTTCGCATTCGACTGCAATTCAAAACACGAAATGATAATCGGCTGCAAGTGCAAAGGACATACAAACATTTAATGTATTTGCCGGGCTCGTGTTTAGATGTAATTGGGAAATTCTTTTAAGCGCTTTGCCAAACAATGCCTTCTGCCGGGTTCGGGGTGGGGGCAGGACGAGACCGAATAATGCTGAGCCGCTTCGGCTGTGGATTGCTAAATGAGTTTGTCAATCAAAATGCAAATGTCAGTAGGAAAGTGACATAATCCCACTTGGGAGCTGAGCTAAGCCGAGCGAAACGAGCCGAAATCCCGGTGCGAGTTAAACCGTTTGACCGCAGCCGCCGAAGGCAGCCGTTCCACAGGCATCTGAGTGAGTTCCCGGTCTCGATTTTGGATGTGGGCCGCTACGGAAATAACAGCATATGACGAGGCCGGCGACGACACTTTGACGTGTGAGTGCCGCCAAAGCGAGAGAGTGAGAGAGGTAGATAGAGTGAGTGCGACGGGGATGACAGCGACTACTGCAAGTGCGACAGTGCGGAGCGGCGGGGGTGTTAAATTGCAATAATCGGCTCTTGAGCTCAGCGGACGCAGCGACAACGTTTATGTTTTATGTGCTCATTTATAATGCGCACTGCTCATTTGGTAATGGTTCGATAATGAGATGGCAGGAGAGTACTTAAAAGGCTGCCAAGGACTGGCACAATCCCAGGCCCTGGATGGAAAACCGGACATCTGTTTGATGCTTGTGTGTGCAAACACACACAGGCCGCGGCATACTCAGTCCAACTCCCAACACTTGTCCAGGTTGAGCCACAATAAATCTCAAACACTTTTCAAAAACCTTGTGACAGCTGTGGCCGATCTTAACGTACGATCCGTTTGGCTGGGAGGGCGGTGGCTGAGGAAAGACTTGGCCAGCAACTTCGATAAGCTCGCATGTAACTTTAGGCGCCACTCGCCGGGGGTCAACAGGGACCCATTGGAGACAGGCAACAAAATCAAAAAAAAAAAAAACAATTAAGAGTACTCCAGACAAAAATGCCCGACAAGGAGATACCCTCGAATCGAGAGCTAAACTGCTGTACCCCTAAAAGTGGAAGTGGGAGGTATCTTAAAGGAAAATATTCTGGATCTGTGCATGCTTTATAATTTGTGTCTCTTATAAGTTCCGAGATATGATAACAATCGTATCGTATCGATATCGTAGAAGCGGGACGAGATATCGATTATTGAAAAGGAACTCAACATTTGTATGTACTAGGAAGACGAACGTTCCACATTTTAAAGCCGTAGCTTATATAAACTCTGAGTCAGATAGACAGACTTGACTAGATCGAGTCAAGCTGTTGTTCCTGATCAAGAATATATACACTTTATGGACACAAAAAGGCCTCCTTCTCTCTGTTATATTGATCTGCACACAACCATTATACCCTTTTTGCCCAATGTGTTCAGGGTATGAAAATAAGAAGCTCAAGTGGGAAAGAAAAGAGGAAACATCTAAACAACTAGCCAGCCACGACTTCGATGTGACTGAAATAGATAGACCTAGTCGTAGACCCGCAACAGACGCAGTCAGTGTCAGTCGCCAGTTGGCAAAAAAAAAAAAAACCAAATACAAAAAGAGGAAAAAAAAGAGTCATAAAAGTGAATAAGCCCATTCCCAATTGCCAATTATACTGCAGCAGCCCCACCATGACAAGACAAACGTTCCAGCTATCGACGATCGGAGCTGTTGTCAGGCATTCGGCATAGACGCCATAGACCGGACCAGAGCTAAGGTTGGGGCAGCGGTTAGCAGGGGGGTTTTTCACTCACAGGAGCTTCACGACGGATTCCATTGCTCGCCTTCCAACCAGCTTGTCTTCGCATACAAAGATTTCCCTCGAGCTGGCAACGGCTTCAGTCGTTCAAATTCTCTGAGAGTCGTGGCACAAAACGCCTCTAGCTATTTTATATAATATATTTCATTTAATTTGCGGCGCTTATCAGGCGCCAGCTCCAGAGACAATCGGTGACAATGGCTCAATCGTACTACAAATGAATGCCAACGTTCGTGCGATTGGTAACAAACACAAAGCCAGACAGACACACATAGATATTTACACACACATTCGACTCCGTGTCAAAACGATTGTTTGCTTTACAGATACAGCCTTGATTATATGTATTTATATATTTTAAAATGCAATGGTCCTGAATATATCACGTATATATAATTATATATATACATATATCATGTATATATAATTTGAAGAACATAGTTTAGGTTTAAGGAATAGATCGTATAGGGTTGAATCGTGGTGTTATATGCACCAGTATTTATACAAATTATATTTTAAGAGATTAAAAATTTTCGTTGAAAAAATTTTTTTTTAGCAATAGAACTTCTGAACTTATACAAAGATGTTATTGTAGTGGGATATGTACTCAAAGCTTAGGTTTATTCTTTGTGTGGACTATAGATAATAGGAAAACGATATAATAATGGCAAAAAGCAGCTTAGTCTCTGAGACACATCACTTGAAAGCAAGTATGAAGTTATAATCCGTATTAAAAAGATTCAAAAGTGAATAATAAATTTAGCAGAAACTCTGCTGTCCGTCAAGACCTTTGTATTGCAATGAGTAGTTTTCCTGTTCTTTTTATAAGTGAATCTTCCTTCTAAGTAATTTTAATTATCTCAAATAACAAAATATATTTATTATTTAGAGAGACTTAAAACGAACTTATTCGAATTCTCTTTTGACCATTCCTGAAAGGGGCAGCAAATTGCTTCAACCTTAATCTTTTAAGAGTTAGTATCACGAAATTGAACCTCCGTTCACACTTACTTCCATTCTCAATTGCTCCCTTCACGTCCTACAAATCGCCTTTCTCTGCGATTTTCAAGACCTCAAAGAGCCCTGAGTTAAATATCAATTTGGTAATGCTTCAAAAGTGATTATTTAAAAGACTACGCTGTAAAATCAGTTAGTATGTAACATTTTAGTAAGTCTTAGTACAACCCAGGCAAAAATAGAGTGTCTCCTGGTCATAAATACTCGACCCGTCTCTGTTTGGCTTAAATTTATATACTTTTAGCCATTAAAAAAGCCAAATTAACTTTATGTCTTGAAATGTTGTAGGAGACGTATGTGGTTTCGAACGAAATTATACAGTTTGTAATTGCAATATGCAAATGAATATTCGTTTGTCGACTTCAAGGCATATTGGGCCACTGGGTGGGCGCAGTCAGACGACAACAACAACAACTACAACAACAACCACACACAGCTTGACATTTGAAACTTGAAATGTAAGTGAAAGATACAATCCCAATCTGTGTATCCAGATACGCCATTGTCGTTCTCATCGACGTCGAAGCCACAGAGACATGGTGCACAGACATTGCCAACATCAGCCGGCCTAGACTTGAACAAACTAAGCTCCTAACTGTGATGATTCCCCTGCCAAGCCGGAGACTACTCGCATGTGCACATGATAAATGACGGCCTTTCGACAATTCCCTTCGCAATCGCATTTGGCAAATCGAAAATGAAATTAACACTTTTCTCTCATATAGCCCGCAAGTACGTAACATTACCATTCACAGATTTCCACTTGCCACCCACAAAACAAACTGTTCGGGTGCTTAATCTCATTCTGCGATGCTACTGACAGTATCTTTGTCGACATCGGTTGCGGTCAAATTGAAATTTAAACAATTTGTACGTCTTTGTCTGATAAAACTGGCATCTTTCTAAATGCCGCACAACAAGAGAAATTGCTATTGTATTTAACATTGCGTGGTATAGCTAAATGTAGAGAATAAATCAATGTAAAGTCGAAATGTACAGGGTATACGAGTTACGAAGGAAGTTACAAAATGTTATCGCATTGGGCAGATTCGGTTTTTGAATTCGTCACGATTATATTCTTATAGCCTTTCGAGGGACCTGAATTTGTCCGATTTGTGTAGTATTAATCTTAATTTTTAATATATTTTCTTAGTAAGCATTTTAAAATAATTTGTATATTTATAGACACACATAGCTATTGGCACAGTAAACGTTTTCTATTTTTCACCCATATTTGGTCCATTTTTGGTAACAAACGTCTATCTGAAATAATTATACTACACAAAGCAGTTAATTTCCTACAAAAATTTTGCAACTGTAACTCAAAAGTAATTTTATTAAATTATTTACATAAAAAATGGCACATTTTTCTGACTCAAAAGTATTGCACACATAATTATAAAACTTAAAAAGATGATTTATTTAACTTAACTAATATTTTGTGGGCAAGCCTTTCTATTTTTTTTACAAGTTGGAGGCTTTTTGGAGGAGGCGTTTTGGAAAACCAATTTTCTGGTCGTTTTTATCCAATAAAACCGCTTTTAGGTAAGTTTTGTTGGAAATGGATCGTGTATCTATAGTTTACCCTGAGATATCTTAATATAAGGAACTATGCAAACATATATAGATAAAATATTTATTTAAATGATACGTTGTTTGATTAAATAATCATCAATATTGTAATAATTACAATTAAGAAAAGGTAAATAATAAAAACTTTATGCGACGTCCCGTCCCACATACCAATTCCTATTCGTTCGAATTGGGCAGGTTACATAGCAGTCAGCTTTTTTCCGCGAAGCAGCAGGGCTGACACTCGCTTTGCTCTTCGCTCGCGCTCCAGCAGCAGCCAGCTGACGTTTGTTACTGTGCAGCCCTGGCGACTGCGTATTTGTTTAGTTTTGGTGCGAATAATATTTGGTTTAATATTTAATTGTGTGCAATAAGCTGTTAATTGTGTAAATATGAGTGCAAACGACACAACAAAGCAGCTGTCGATTGTGGATATACGAAATTATATGCTGCAAAACGATGGCAAGGTGACAAACCATGCGCTTGTCAAGCACTTTAAGAAATATCTAACGCACACCCAAAGTGAGTCAGAGTCCATTCCATGCGAAATGCGTATCTGTGTATATACTGAACTACCTGTTGACATCATAAGTCAAGCCCTAACAACTAAACGCAACTGAAATCTAATTTCAGATGAGGCGGAGGCACGCAAACGCTTCAAAACATACGTGACGCTTCTGTCGACAATCAAAAACGAAAACAACCAAAAGTATCTAATACTGCGTAAAAAGTATATCAATGAGTGCCCCTCCGAAGAGGTTGTGGAGCGCGCCGTCGAGGCCGCTGGCAATGCCTCGACGCCGTCCAGCCCAGGAGCTGGATCGCTGGCCTCTGTTACCGATAGCGGCTTCTCGCCCCTCAGACAGCCGCCGCCCTACAAAGCTCCGCCCGAAGTGCAGCAGTCGCCAGTGGCAGCGCCTGCGCCCGTGCCGGCTCCAATCGTCAGCACCGGCGTTGTTGTACACCCGGGTCAAGTGGACAGCTATCGGGATTGCGTTAACGAATTCACAGCCGCCATGCAACGCATTGACCCTGCGCGTCTAGAGCTGCAATCATCTGCCAAGGCAGATGTTGACACGAACAACGAGCTCGACACCGTTGCCATTGCCGTTGCCGATGCTGCGGCCAAGTCAGTATCCCGTGCCAATTCTGTGGACGAGACCGGCAACAAGGAGAATATTCCGCGTTTCTCTTTCTCGTCGGGCGCATCAACCGACAGCTCGGCCACAGACAAAGTGTCCGGCACAGAGGCGGGCGACGCTGCTGAGAATCCCATCAGCGTTAAGGAAGCGACACGTAAATTCAACCGGATGGCATCCGAAGAAGAGGCTAAAATAATATCACCGCCGCCCAAGAAAAAACCAGAGAAGGTATGTTTTTTATACCCTTAGCCCATGTCAAATGGGTATATTGTTGATGGTGAAATGTATGTAACAGGCAGAAGGAAGGTACTCCGATCCTATTAAGTGAATATTTTCTTGTTCAGAACGACACGCTAAGCTACAAAAAGAAAGCTTTAATTCAGGGTATCTTCTAGTCGAGCACTCGCGGTTAGAGCCCTCTTGCGTGTTTTTATATGTTTAACAAAACCGGTTAACATTGAGCCCAGCATAAGATGCGGGTGCGGGTGCGATGGCTTGCCAATGCCTGTCGCGCATCGTTGCTGCTGCTCGGCCAGCAGTTCCAACTGGGCCGCTTGTAGCTATTCCCCACTTCCTGTGGGAAGCATTTAGAGTGAGATTCTGTTCGTCGCGTTTGTTTCTGTGTCAAACAAAACAAAACAAAACAAAAAACGCACAGTTTTTGCATTTTGAGAATTTGACTTGCCTTATTGTCATGATTAATTTTTCAAATTGCAAGCCAAGAACTCTCCGAATTCCATTTCCTATGGTCGCAGAGCAATTTGAAGGCAGATTAGATCTGGCCTACACTGATTCTGTGTGATTCTTGAATCTAATTCGCAACAAATGCGCAGATGAGGGTCTTGCCTCTCACACCAACGCGGGCACTTAGGCACCAAACTTAAATATAGCTCGAGTGGAACTGCTGGCTTGGTCGCAACTGTCAGCAGAGCCGTGTCACGAACTGCCACCAGCACATTCGAATTGTACAAATCCATTAATTTTATTCGTGGACAATAAAATGTAAGATTCATAACATTACATGCGCCCGCTGCAACGTCTGCCAGTCTGCCAGTCCGCCCGTCTGGCCATTCGGCCCATTGTCATCACCGTCACTCATTCTTTCAGATATCTATATAAATATATATGTGCTTGACATGCGTACATGCATTCACTGACGCATGTACTTTGTTAATATATAACTTTTTCCATTTTGCGCCGCCCACTCGCCTTGCCGACATTTAATGGAAACTGTTGCAGCAAGTTAAGCATAATTTGAATGCTCTTCTGTTGCATTAATAGTGGGTTAAGCTAATCAGTGGTGTAATATAAACCAAACAGAAAAATCAATGATTCCTAAAGAACTTTTGGGTGAGTTCGTGTGGAGTGAGTTTGGACTCAGAACAAAGAGTAACAAAATTCTGCTACAAAACTAACTTTTTCAACCCACATTTTTTGTATACCTTTATAGAGGGTATTATACGTAGTATTGTCATGAAATGTGTAACGCATAGAAGGAGGCATTTCCGACACCATAAAGTGTATATATTCTAGATCAACGTCAACAGCCGAGTTGATACAGCCATGTCCGTCTCAGTTTCAAAGCTATCGTCTTGAAACTTAGTCAGATCCGTCTTTCCTTTGCGGGAAGTAAATATGTCGGAACTCTCCAGATCCTACTACTATATCATATAGTTGCCATAGGACCGATATCCCCAGATATATGTATATAAAATCCTCGCATCATCAGACTACTATATCATTTAGCTAACATAGGTACGATCAGTCGAAAATTAATTTCTTGTATGAACAACTTTGTTGTTAATAAAGATGTTTTGACTAAGCCCAGCATTTACTCGTTAAAATATGCTACTTATATGAGAGCTGAATCTTGTGAAGATAGGACTCCTATATAGCTGTATAGGCAGAATCGGAAAATGAGTATTCGTCTGGCAGAATATTCTTTTTTTCCAATATATTCTCACTACTATTCTCACATTTCTGCAACATCGTAAGGCAAATGTATAAAATCTTCAGCGTGCCGAAGATATCTTTACTTTCTCGATACTAAATCAAATTACCTAAGCTGTTTCCAAGTCTTAAAAAGCTTTTATTTCGAACCAAGTTATGTATTATGATGGCATTATTGAAGTTTCGATTGCAAAACTCGAAATATTTTCGTGCCATTCTTACAGCAATCAACTGAGTTTCGAACTATTCATTGAGTACTTTTAAGTGTGTGCATGGATATATGTGTGGATATATCGGCCGACAATAAAAGGCGACAACATGTTAAGAATTTGTCAAGCGTTACGAGAAAATCGTTTCGTAGCAAATGTTTTTCGAGTTAAAGACGCCGGCAATTACCAATGGGCTGAATTGACAAACAACTGTCATCCACTCAGGGCTGTCAATCAAAGTATTCGGGTTTAGGCATAAAGCAAAAGCAACTGCATAAATCATCCCAGAACGAACGCTAGATGAATGTGTGCATGCTCCGCACAAACACGTCCAGGCGGGGCGACAGGCTGCAGCAGTAGATGGATGTCAAACTCGGAACTCGAATTGTCAACTGCATGTCAAGCGCTATAAAAACTCAACACTCGACTAAAACACTAAGGAAAAGACTTAAGTGTCTATTTGTGCACACACACACACACACAGGCACACTCTTGTCCACTTATGTGTGTTAAATTAATGTTTACATGTATCGAAACGTTTTCCAGCAACTAAAAATCACAGAATTTATGTTAGTTTTCTCACGTTTTCCATGTTTCCGGATTAATGTTGCCCAATTACATGCAACAAATATTTCCTCCATTAGCGTTTCTGTCTAGTCCTGAGCACAGGGTATTGACAGTCAAGCAGTCGCGAGCTAGACGTCTGTAATCCCATAATGTATATATATTCTTGATCAGTATCCATAATCGAGTCGATATGACCATGTCCCTCTTTTTCTTTCTATGCAAATTAATTCCTTAGTGAAACTTTGCTTAATTCCATCTTTCCACTGCAGTCGATACTTAGTCGAAATTGGCCGCATTGGACTACTATATGATATAGCTGTCATATAAACGATCGGTCAAGAATGAAGTTCTTGTATGAACATTATCTTTTTTTTTGCTTTTCAAGATATCTTGGCTCAACATTTACGAGCTACTTAGAAAGGATGTCTATATCAAGTATTTCTACAGGAAAAATCGGTCGTAAAATGAGTTGATAAACTTTCTGTTGTTTCAACAATTTTTGACCAGACTCGATTATGTGCTTCACTATTCCCCTTACATATATTTCGGGTTAAGCATAGTCAAACCTAATTACAAACTTTTGAAATTATTCGAGTAGCATATTCTCATTTTCAGATAGTTTACAAACGTGCCCATCATTATCCAAGCTGTAAACCTGTAAAAATTGTTAACAAATCTGTGCGCTAACAAGACAAATCAACAAAAAAAAAAAAAAACTTTAGACGGCGCCAGCAATCTTTACTTATTACCATCCCAGTGAATTCCTCGACGGATTCTGTTTAAAAAAAAATTATTAATCATCGAAAAACGATAGAAAAAGTGCCAAATCATGCACGAAAGAGTTTTCAAATGAGTTGCTGGCCCTTCTTCATATTGCCTATATATTTTTCCCGCGATCCACTGACGCACATAGATCCATCAATATAGACCGTGAAATCTTGGCGCCGCAACTGTAATCGCTTCGGGCTTGTTCTGCCTTGCAAGCTGATCAATTAAATTCGTTTCGAGTGTTTTTAATTAGCTTCATGAGTTGGCAATTTGTGCATTTAGGCAGCACCCACTGTACGATATAAGCATTTTATCTAAATATATATCTAACGATGAGTTGAAATTGATCTGCCAATAATGTTTCTTAAACTTGTCTGTGTAAGGAAATCAGTTTGACAACTGGTTTGAATGTAGCGCTTATCCCTAGGTGTTAACAACAGTATCAGATATATTCGAATTACCTTCTACGACGTTTCAGCTAGATTGAATTGATATAATTTTTTAAATATTGCAACCAAAGATAGACTTTTTAATGAAGAATCTGTATAATAGTTCCAAGTATAAATTTGTAAACTTTAGATTTAAATTTTTACAAATTGGACTAAAAGTCTAACGAATCTTCAGACCTTGGTAGATAAGGAGGATGAGGGTTCAAACCGAAGAACTTTGCCGAGACCTTCGCTATTTCAAAAGTTAAATTAGTAGATTACAACTGCCCATAATGTAAATAATGCTAACAAGTTGGCAGCTGTATAAACGGGAGTTAAAACCAACGAAAATAATGTGAATTATATAATATGATAGAGAAGGATGTGAAACTATGTTTCAAAATGTGACTTACATTGTGTAAGTTGTTTTGCTTAGGCTGTGTTACGCCTGAGTCATTGTCGCTTTAACAATATGAAGAGCTCTAACACAGTTCTGTACATCTAAACCTAGATTATTTGACTGTATATCCATGAATATACATGGAATAGTGTTTGTCCGAAAATCACTAAATTTACAATTTTAAAGGACTGTTACCCATTTGTAGTTCTGCTTAAAGGGTAACGAAATGAAGCCCGACTGCAGCATCAAACAGACCACATATATTTTTATTAACCCACAAGGTACTTTGGTGGCCAGTGCCCGTGTCCCAATATGCATATTAAGTCCAACGAGGGGGGGATGGGAGTGTGAATGGGGGCGGGTTAAGAGAAAAACCCTTTTGGATAAAAACAAGTTGGTGAAACATGTTAACATAGCCAATAAGCAGCAATAGAAATTAGTTAGGCAAAGCTATACTCATCACGGCCAGGCGACCACAAAGGACCCAATTAAAAATGTAAGGAAACAAACCAAAAGTTGTTATTGCTGTTAAACAACAACGCAGTATGTCCCGAAGCGGTTAAATTTACAACAACAGCAACAATGTCGACCCATCGAGGACGTGGAGCATCAACCGGTGCCGCCTCTTCGCCGCCCGGCATTGGCAACTTGTGTTGTGTGATCAGAGCGGACAATGGCAACGACTACAGTATACGGCATACGGCAATGGCAAACATGACCATTTTGTGGCTTCATCCGTTTTTAAGGGAGCCAAAGGTAACTTTCGGGTGGTGGCAAACGCAAACACACACAGAGCGAGAGGACACAGCGCAGCGCCGCACAGGACATGGTACGGTCTGGTCGGGTCGGGTCTGGTCTGTTGTGGCCCGGCCCGAACCGGCCCGGCATGGCCTGGCATGGCGGAGGACAACGGCTAGCAGTGTGATATAATATCTTGCATAAAGGGACACACAGGACATAAGAAAGCCAGCCAACAAACAAGCGATTGGGGAGAAATGGCCACCAACTAGACAAGGGCAGCCAACGAGCAGCAGTCGGTTCTTGTTTTTTTTTTTTTTTTTTCATTGTTCTGCAACCATTGAAAATGAGTAAAAAAAAAAATGGGTGTTATGGTTATGTGCAAGTGTAAATGTAACAGGCAGAAGGTGGCATCGCCGAACCCATAAAGTTCATATACATATATATTCCTGATCAGCATCAATAGTCGATCTAGACTGTTATCTCTGTACGTCTGTACGAATGCGTCGATATCTGAGATTTATTTAGACACACAACAAAACATTCAAATTCCCCATGCTTCTCCAGAATTAAGCTAAAAACATATTGGTAAAGATAAGTCCTTGTGCTTAGGAATATCAAAACTTTTGCATGTCAAATTTAAACCCTGAATCTTGCATCATGATCGGACTATAAACACCGAAGTTATTTAAAAACGCTGTTTCCATAGCGTAGGGCTGATGGAAGAAAATACACAGCAGCTGCATGTGTGAATGTTTGTAGTATAGCTATAAGGTTTGTAAGGACAGCTCTGCTCTAGATACAGATACAGACCTGCACTTCCGATTAAGGCACTCTTGAATATATTCTTAAACCCCGCATAACTGTAGAGGGATAACATACTTGTAACAGGGTATCTTTCAGTCGCGCACTTCTTATCAGAGAACTCTTGTTTATTGTGTTTTACATTCTAGCTATAGGGTATCTCCCAGTCGTACACTTTTGATTAGAGCACTGTTGTTTATTTTGTTTTACCCCCGCATAACCGTAAAAGGTAACATACCCATTGCAATGGCCAATTTTTGGGTGGAGACTTGGGGCGGTTCGGTTCTTTTGTTTAGCATTGACATGGCCACTTTTCCCGGGGCCTTACTTTCGCAATGTTTGTCCTGTTATGTTTTTCTGTTCTGCTGCTGTTTCAGTTTTTGTGTGTAACGCTCTCGCTCACCTTGTCGGCTATTCGGCAAACGACAAACGGCAATCGGCCTTCGCTATGCGGCAGGCGGCAGGAGGCATATGGCATGAGGTGTATGGCATGCGGCATGCGGCATTCGGCATTTGCAAATGGCGCCATCGTCATCTACCTGAGCGGGTGGCTAACAGGGATTAGCCCCGGTGCGTTCGAGCACAGCGAGTAATTGGAAAAACGTGAGCACTCCCAAAGTCAAGTGGCGTGTAAATATGAAAGGAGTCTCGAGGGCAGAAGAGCTGTTGCATCCTGCGGCTAAATGCCGTACAACCATGTGTACTCGCATTTATTAGCTATTGTTACATTATGAAAAGCGGGGAGTTTTTTCGTTGTTGTTGTCGTTGGGGGTGGTGCTCGGCAGATACAGATACAGGTAAATAAAAGCTGACGCTTTTGCAGCTTGTTAGCAGCGCGAACATTATGCGAATGGATAATTAGTTGCCGAAAATGTTTTCCGCGCTCGTAAATATGAGGCACACATGTTTCCAGCTATTGTTGTTGTTGCTGTTGTTGTTGTCGCTGGCACATGTGTGCCTGCGCCCCTCGCTCATTAGAGTGCTCATTATCAGTGGGAATGCGTGCGTATGTGGTGGTTAAACCCCTCCCCATCCCCAGTCGAAATGTGTAAATCACCAAAAAAGAAAAGAAAAAACAAAAAGAATAAACCGAAAGGAAGGAAACAACTTTCGCCGGCGTTCTGGAGCTCTATTTCATTTAGCGCGTCGCTAAAGAAAATCCGGCGCACAATCTGCCTAAAGCACGCGCCTAATAAATAAAAATTATTACCTTCATAATTATGGGAAAGAACATGGCGACGGCACCGTTGTCGAATGCGTGCGCATAATTATGCCAGCTTTTACACACACGCCCCCAGCCCCAATCTCCAGCTGCCCCCGCTCTAAGCGGCATCCATTGGATGCCACAAAGATTGCTGGAGCATACACACTCGCACACGTCGACATATGTGTGTGTGTTCTAAGATTCAAATGTGTGTTGGCGTTAATGCTTTCAATGGGCTTTCTATGTTTTATACCCGTTTCATGTCGTTCTTTTCTATATGCTTATATATATATATGTTTTTTTTTTACCACTTCGCACCGCCCCCGCGCCTTTTGTAAATGAAGTGGCAGAAACATGTATAATTAATTTATGCGCTTTGGTACCCTCTTTTTATGTCTTTTTAGCAATTAATTGAGGAAAAGGATTCACCCGATGTTACACTTGCGCATCCCAAGGCAAAGGAATGGATTGTCTCAATGGCAAAAGCTAATTACCAGGAGCTCGCTAAGCTGGCTAACGATTATCCGGAGCTGGTTAAACTGCAGGTTAGTTACAATTTAACTACACCTTTCCATTAATTGAAAGCATTTAAATAAGACGAACTAGGAAAGTAGAAGTATTAAACTAAAACTAAACCAAACTTTAATATTGCAAAACGAAATTAACAAATTTCGAGCAATAAATATAGTTTTTTAGTCAAATATATAAAAGCAGTTTGTTTGCTTTAAATTTAAAGCATAACTTTTACAACCAATTTGCCCCAATAAATCTGCCTGAATTACCTTAAACTATATATTATATGGTTCAGTTACAATGAGTTATAAGTCGATCGGATAAAATAGACTTTTAATTATCCTTTTCACTTGAGCTTAAACTGTCAAAAAAAAATAGGAGAACCAAATTTCGAAGCAAAACCTTAAGGCAAGGAGTTGATACGAACCGTAAGCCAAAAGACTAATAGATGTTTAAGACCAGGACTACGAACTATTGCAATTGTTTTAAAAACTTAAACGAACCGTCGCACATTCCTGTTTCGTTTGGCCAACTTGATAAGTATAGAGCGCATTCATTGGCTCGAATTAAGTAGCTCGAACAAATAAAGACAAGTACAAACTATTCATAAGCATTAATTACGACAAATTAAGCAGCAACGCGTTGTTTTTGCCATGTCGAACAACATTTAAAAATGCGAGAAAAATATAATGACAGCCGCCGCGGCGGTACACGCGGCACAATCGCGATGCCCGGCCCAGTTGCTCTGACAATTAATTGTGAAATATGTTTTCAGAATTTTTAGCACTTGTAGTGCATGATGTTTGGGAAGTGGGCGTTAGTTAGGACCGGGCCACTTCTCGCGCGTGGGCCTTAACACGCTGCAATTGCCATTAGGCAAAGGCGGCAGTCGGCCGGGAATACAACGACAACCAAAACTAGACCATAGCGTTAAATCGAGCGCAACAGAACTTGACCAGCAAGGATGGTCCAAAATATATATGTATACCATTATATATATATATATAAATATATGTTCTGGTACATGTAATTTCCATTTTGGACAGACAACTGAAAACAAGCGTTTGACAGAACACGTGTTTATATTTGTACTCTCATCAAAATGATTTTAGGCAATGCTTTTTACACTCCGCCCACGAACTGCGCCCAGTTGGCAATTGTCGCCGGCAAAACACATGTTTAATCAAATTACAAATGTTAGACATATATATAGTGTACTAGAAGAAATTAACCGGCGTCGCACGGGTCAAACAAATAATGTTGTTAATGCAAGTGGTACGAAATTGCTTGTGTAATTCGTGTCAACTTTAGACAACAAATTCGCTAAAATTGCAGCCCACGCTCGATGCATACATCCACACAAATGTAGGAATGGGAAATTGCTGCCAGATTTGAACCAGCGTCCTCCCGGTTGTCAGTCCGTATTCTTCCAATTTGGAACTTTAAGGTGGAGATTTTTAACCTTAACCTTTTTTTGAACCCAATGAGGAAATTTCCTATGGCTAGGGACTGTGAATTGATCTTCAGTCAATCAGTGGGTCAAAAAAAAACTCTTCTATATTTATATAGAATATACCAAAAGTTCCGATTGCCTACGTAAATGTCAGAAATAATTAAAAAATTGAGTTAAGAAATAGAATTATTTTGACAGAGCCACGAAACAATTTTGCGGTAACTTATTGTTGTAGATAAATGTCAAATTAAATGGCCATAAATTAGGTTACCCAAGAATTATAAACAAGTTTTGTTGTTTCTTTTCCTTTTTCTCGTTTTTAATATATGACAGCACTTCAAATCGAAGGGTCGACATAGAGAAATGACTACGACTACGTGCGGGTGGGCGCCCTGTGAGAAACTCTTCGAATTTTCCCCAAAAATATTTGCTAAAAGACGGCAACGTCCAAATCTATTGGGACTCATGCCGTTGCGGTGTCTCTCAATTAGAGTAAATTTTCGGTTACACCATGCCCCAGCATGCATATATGTATATATACATACATATTTTTATGTCCCAGTTCCCCTACCAAAAAATTTCCATGCCCTGGCGTCGGCACAGTCGGAAGATGATTTATGCCAGCCGCAAGCAAACATGGGTCCGACTACGACTCCGACTCCGACACTGACTCTGAATCCGATGGAGTCGCATGGTGAACGCGTATAAGCGAGCATTATGCCTCAACTTATATGAACTAATTGCCGTACAAATGCAATGTTCCCGGAAATAATGGATTCCGTGCGTTATATGCAAATCTTGAATGCCATAAGTGTAATCAATTAATATATGTGCGCATCACGCCCAGCCTTCCCGCTCGCTCACTGGGCGGCAAGTGTGAACGAATGGCAGGCAGCTCATTAGCGGCGCTTGCAATTCCCCGAATCACTGAAATCGCAACGAGACGGAAATAGCAATAAATCAGACCCCGATTGTCACTTAACCTAATGTCTCAACTCGATGCGGTGGCTCTCGACCAATCTTTGCCAATTTTATAGCCCTGTGCATGGTGGTATCTTTGTATCTCTTGCATTTATGATTTAAAGTTTCTCAAAGTTTACTTAATCAATTGAAACATATGAGTAGTTCTAGATAATGGCAAATTATAGGGACATATATAAGGATATAATTGATTAAGAAAGAAGGAAAACCAAAAAAAAAATGTGCTCTATTCGGGGACTAGGGTGAATCTAGATCTTAAGACCTCAGAGATTTGCTCAATAACAAGATTTCGTTATCGATTTTAATCGATTGCTTGAAAACGGCATAAGTTATCGATTATCAAAAACAACCTCGTCTCTAGGTCTTATAGGCTCTGAGATCGACGAGTTCATACATACGGACAGACAGACGGACATGGCTAGATCGATTCGACTAATGATGCTGATTAAGGATATATATACTTTATAGGCTGGGAGATGCTTCCTTCTGCCTGCACAAAATAATTATACACTTTTTACCCATTTCCAATGGATTCAGGGTATACACATTAATGATTTTATGGGTTCTTTTCGTCATCCCAGACCTGACTGCACCAATCTCCACTTTCAGCGGTTACTATTGTTTGTTGTTCTTTCATTTTTAAAATGTTTTGTTATTATTAATATACATGCATTTTAGTTAGATGTTAGTTTAAATGTCTATTGCCCGCAGTAAGAAGTTGTTTGCATACCAAGTTTAATTAAATTTGTAGCCTGCAATACTCAATCAGCGGTGCGAGTCGCATTCAGACTCGTTTCCAATGGATATTAGAATTCAGTTACACTCTAGGCCTGGCCAATCGAATATGCTGAACATTTTCAAGTACCTCAATACCTCCTATGTCTATATATGCACCCCTCTATCTGAACATCTAGTATATGTGGATTTTCAAAAAGTAGGCGCTTATAAAATGTAGCAAGTTTTGTATTAATTAAAAACATACCTTCCTTTAGCAATTTATATTTATGTTTTCTGTTATTTTTCAATTCACATATGTAAATATAGTGAATAGAACTATGCATACTCACTTGCACTCAAACGAATACTCGAAACATACACGTGGAATGAAGCGCGAGTTTGACCATTGTTTGCCGTCGGTTGGATTGGGTTTGCTTGTGCCTGTGCCTGTGCCTGGTCTGGCCTGGTCAGCTGGGTGGGGCACACGGACCGCCCAATAGCCGAGCATGCAACGTTTTGCCATTTCAGCTTGTAGTTGTAGCTGTTGTTGTTGTTGTTGTGCGTCCCTTTCATTCAGGCGGCCATGCATCCATCCATCCATCAACGTGTTTGACCTAGCCGGCAATTCGGCTTGACATGCGAGTAAATTGAATTTTCCTTGTTTCACATTTGTTTTGACTTGTTTTTCAGTTGTGTGTGTGTTGTTTTTTTCCTATTTGATTTTGGCTGTTGTTCGAATTACTTATTCAAATTAAAAATATTTTTTTATTTTTTTTGCTGCATATGGACAATGACTGGGCACAAATGTAGCTGATGTTTCAACCTTCAACTCTTTCCTCTATTTACATAGTACACACAAACACACACACTCACACCTGTGTATGTATGTTATTTAAGTAAATGTTTCAGCATTTTAAAGTGTGTATTAAGACGAACATGCTGGCCAATGCTCGTGTTAATTATAAACTTGTATACATCAGTTATTTACAGCTTATGTTTAGACAAGAGAAATACGTCCTTTTCTTAGCCTCAAACTGATATTGTTCAATCTCACATATATTAATATTTGTTATCTAAATTTTGATTGTATCTTTAACGATTTGTTTAAGGCGTAAAGGTTATGCAAAGGTATTTTGTAATTACAAAAAAATAACCAAGCTATAATTTTCAAATGTGATTAGGCTCCGATTTAGGTTCGACTGTTTTTTATCAAACCAATATGGGTTGAAATCCGATCTATGGTAACAAAAAATTTTTAATGCACAGCTCAAAATGGTTTGTTTTCATGCAAAAATATTAATATTAAAGACTAATGAACATGGCTTAGAGATCATCATCTCCTTATAAGATTATTCACGTAAAAATCCTTGACTTCCTATCTCTTAAAGTATCTACTTCATATTTTGCAATACTTAAAACCTCTTCAAAAAAGATGTAGCAAGCTTTTCCTCAATGGTTTTCAGCAGATATTTCACTTAGAACAGAGTATTGCGCAGTCACCACTAAATATCTCATACAAATATGTAGATATTTGTATGTGAAAAGTTTTTTATCTCCATCTGGTATTTAGTCCGCGATACTCGTATCTAACGTTTATCTGCATCTGTGCTGGTATTTAATCTGCCATACTCGAATCTTGCTACTCAATTCCTTCTACCTTTTTTCACATACATATATTCGCCTTTTCCGCTTTTAAGAAAGGCAGGGCAAGGGTGAAAGTAATTTTGCGGCGTGCGTCTTTTGATGAATGATATGGGCCCTTTCCTTGCCCTCGGATTCCCACTGGGCCAGCGCTAAAATCTCAAAGGTAAAATTGTAGAAGTGACCATGAACTTTTCAACAGGTCGTCAAGAACAGCAATAAAACGTCTGACACCTTTGG